GAAAGAGGCCCTGTCCAAACAGCAATATGGATTTCGCAAGGCAAGGTCTACGGTCGATGCAATTAAGGCGGTGGTAGATATTGCCGCTAAAGCAATAGAGGGAACCAGATGGAGGTGGGGAGACAAGGAGTATTGCGCGGTGATTACGTTGGACATCTGCAATGCCTTTAACTCAGCCAGCTGGTCGCGTATACTGGAAGCCTAAGACCGAATAGGGATACCGTTCTCCCTTTTCCGTATAATATCCAAGTACCTGTCCGATCGGGTATTGAGTTAGGAGCTAGGAGTTACACGGTCTCAGCAGAGGTCTCACAGGGGTCGGTCCTGGGATGAAGAATCATAGGATTCGCGGATGACCTAGCTCTAGTAGTGCTGGGCAAAGAAATAGAAGACGTGGAAGCGGCTGCGAATGCAGCCATAAGGATCGTGGCCAGCTGGATGCGTGGCACTAGCCTGGAGCTGGCAGCTCCTAAAACAGAGACGGTGCTTATCACAAGCCGCTGAATAGTCGAGTTTGCTAGATTTCAGGGAGACAGCGTTAGTATTGAGTCAAAGGCTTCCATTAAGTATTTGGGGGTTATGTTAGACAACAGGCTTAGCTTTTGAACGCACGTAGATTACGTTAGCCAGAAGCGGCCCTTTCGAGGATGCTACCCAACATAGGAGCACCTAAAACAGGTAGAGAGTTGTAGCCTCCGTGCTGCACCGATATGGGCGTCATGTCCACCCAATTCCCCTTCAACTCCCCCTTTCCGTCTTGCGCAAGCGACACCAACGTACTCCCCTTCCTCCTCTATATGATCTTGCTTCCCACACAAAAATGGAAACAAGATCCCCCGCCCACCTTTCCCTATGAGCATCCACTTAAGCGCGCGCGCACAAAAATATAAACATAGCACACCCCGCTCCCCATTCCCATAAGCGTCCTCTTAAGCGCGCGCGCACAAAAATATAAACATAGCACACCCGCTCCCACTTCCTATGCCAGAACATACAATTCCTATCTTCTGTCACGCATACTATTAATAACTGTGACACTTGCAAATTATTAAAATTCAACAGACATCCACTAAAAATACAATAACAAGAAACTGTAACACATAAAAAACTGTTGGACATCATACTCACAGACATATACCCAATAAACGGAAAATACGTGGTTACAATATTCGATAAATTTTCACGATTTGCAATGCGTGATAGAACAAACGTTGTAAAAACAATCCAAAACTTTAAACAACTATTTGGCATACCTTAAATTATTTTTTGTGACCAAGGAGCAGAATACTCTTCGAATCTTTTCAAAGATTTTTGTAAACAGTACATTATACAAATCCATGTAACATCATTCAACAGGCGTCGGGCAACGCCCCCGTAGAAAGGCTACATTCACAATAGAAAAGATAAAATTCCAACACGCCAAAATCAATGAAAAAGTGTTGGCAGAAACCATGGATACATACAATAACGCTATTCTTTCTTTTACGAAACATACCTTACACGAAATGTTCACCGGACGAGCACACGCATTCAACAGAGACATGAACTTCGACTACGAAAGTTAAACAATTTAGACCGGAACTATCTCCAAAACTTCAGGAACGCGTATCACAGGAAAATGAGCTTAGAATAGAAAAACTAAACATAAGTAGAAACCAGCCTGACAAATATGAGATAGAAGAAACGGTCCTTAGAAGAGAATTAGCGACGTAACAAAATAACACCCAGATTTAGTAAACAAAAAGTCTTTAGAGACTCAGAAGTAACAATAGCCACCACTAAAACCCAAAAAATACACAAGTCTAAATTAAAGGGAATTAAAAAAAAATAAATTATAAATAAAAATTTATTTATATCTCCCCGACGCTATGTTCATCTTGCTAGCACGAAATTCCACGGAAAACTCATATTTGCACAAATACTTATTTCCTAAGAAACTGACGATGTAGCACATAATTTAATGTTAATGGCTACTAAGATGAACAGAAACTAAGACTTTGGCATACAAAAAAACAACAAGCACAGAACAACAAAACCCTAATCAAAATTTCAAGTTACATTATTGAAATGAGCTAAATAAGGTAAATACATTGAATGCTTTTTATTTTGCAAATAAGAATGGATAGACATATTTAAGAATAAATAAACTTAATGAAGTTGAGTCTGTCTTTCTATCCGTTAACAAAGCAAGTAAAAATGCTCTTCTACCAAGAATTAACAAACAGATATACTGTCATTAATAAAAATTATTAGAAAAGAAATTATTTCCAAACTTGCTTCAACCACTTATCACCTCATACCTCATAGCGATACAAACAATTTACTTTTAACGACGACAAAATTGATGTAGAATGTAAGCGCATACCCAGAGCGCAGCAAATAATAAAATGCGAATATTACCTGCGAATAATGCCACACTTGGTCTTTAATCAATTCTGTGTTTCTTCACAAATAATGTTTAAGTATTTAAGAATTTTTTTTTTTTCTGAACTCATATGGACAAATAACAAGTAAGAGGTTTTAGTCGGGAGTTCCCGACTAGGGAATACCCTGAACCCACTTATTCCAACACCAAATAAATTAAAAAACAAAAGTTCCCTTTGCAGGATTCCAACTTGCAACTGACCGCATTACTTGCTGTCGACTCTACTTAACAGCCACACAAGCCAAAAAAAAACAAGTAAGAGGTTCTAGTCGGGAGCTCCCGACTAGGGAATACCCCGACCCTCTTATTCCAACATCAAATAAATTTAAACAATAAAGTTCCCTTGACAGGGTTCGAACTCGCAACTGACAGCAGTACTTGCTATCGACTCTACTCAACAGCCACACCAGGGAAGTGAAGAATTCTTTCCCCGGTAGAGCTCGAACTCGCGACAGACAGCACCACTTGGTATGCCTCTATTCAGCAGCCATTCCAATTATTAGTCCTTATGATAAAAACAAAAACTAAAATAGCATTACAGAAAAAGTCGCAATTACCATGCTGTTAGAATGCGAAGCAGACGCGCATGAATGTGTGTGTACATGTATACAGAAATTCTAAAAGCTGCTGCCCCATTCAATTGCGCAATTGCATATTACTTTGGTTTATCCTTAACCGATCTTTATGTAATTTTTTACAGTATATCTTATTGTACCATAAAATATTTGTGTATTCTGAAAATCTCAATTGCATTTTAATTGTGGCCTAAATTGGTTGACAATAAAAGTTGTGTTATTAACTTGATATATAGCTGTGTGGTGGTAGTGGAGAGGTAGCGATAGATATAAAATGAAAGATACTTGACATATAATACTAGCGGGTATAGCCCTGCCTTGCCTGTGGCACTTATGTTATAAAATCTCGAATAGCTTTGAAAACGATATTGAAACTGAGTGGACAGTAAAGAAACTACTCTCATACAAACGTTTTCCGTCACTTTACCACTGTTTCGTATTCAATTACTTTAAAATGCACTTTCCACTGAAGAAGCTTAGATTTTGGAAAAAATTTAAAACATGTTTCAAATGATTTTTTATGTAGATCCATGCAAATAAATTTGAAAGCAAAAAGCCATCCACCAAATCTCTTACTACCATTTCCACCAAGGAGAAATGGATTTTTCAAAGTGTGAAACACCCCTCTAATGAATTTTAGCAATGATCTTTGAAAATAAGTTTGAGGCGATTCGATGGTTAACAAAACAGTATTATACCAATTTTTTCGCTAATTAACCACTGTTGTGGGTGGAATTTTCCAAATTTCTGAAACACGTTTCATCAAATTCTTATGTAGAGCTTTAAAAACAAGTTCGAAGCCAATCGGACACCACTTAAAACGTCGCCCAAACAATATTTGAATCGTATTTCTACCGAAGGAGTTTTGATTTTGCGAAAAATGTGAAATGTTTTTTCATAATGAACCTCGAAAATGAATTTAAGCGTGAAACGTCACCCACCAAATCTTTGACCCTCATTCCCCCAAGGAGGAATACATTTTGGAAAAGTGTGAAACACCCTCAAATGAATTTGAATGAAAAACTTTGAAATTGAGTTTGAGGCCAATCGGATGGTAAAAAAAAAGTTTCATACAAACGTTTTTCGCGATTTTGCCATACTTGCGGATAGAATTTTTCGAAGCCCCGTCTTTATGTGCACCTTCATCACATAAGGTAACTACAGTGAAAAAATGTTTGTGCTTTGATCACCAATTAGTCTGTCAGTCAGTCAGTCAGGACAAATAGTTTTATGTATAGAGATTCTAGAAGCAACATATCATGTTTGGTGATTCTAGCTCTTATTATGTATCCAATTTGATCAATAAACAGGATATCGAAATCAATTTTCATATATATTGTATTTGAAACGGTGTAAGTTATCGATTATTGGAAACAAACTCGATCTGTGCTGAAACTATGAGCACCTACAACTAAAATTACAAGTCTCTATTTCTTATAGGTTCTGGGATCTTTGCGTTCATACATACGGATGGAACTGTATGTAACAGGCAGAAGGAAGCATCTCCGACCCCATAAAGTATATATATTCTTGATCAGCATCAATAGCCGAGTCGATCTAGCCATATCCGTCTGTCTGTCTGTCCGTCCGTCCGACCGTATGTATGAACGCAAGGATATCTGAACCTATAAGAGCTAGAGACTTGAAATCTTAGATGTAGGTGCTCCTAGTGCCCACGCAGATCGAGTTTGTTTCCGATAATGGATCCTTTTCCAAGCAATCGATAAAAATCGATATCGGTATCCTGTTTTTAGGGCAATTTTGGTAAATACTAAGAGCTGGGTCACCAAAGTTGACATATAGCTTCTAAAATAGAATATATATATGCATTTGTTGTTGGAAGAAGAGGGTTTTTTTAAATTTATTTGGTGTTGAAATAAGAAGGTTCAGGGTATTCCTTAGTCGGGAGCTCCCGACTAGAATCTCTTACTTTTATTATAAAGCACTCCCGGGGTGAAAAACAAAAGATTCGATTTCATGTTTAGTAATTTTAATAATATGTACCATAATATTCAAACAAATTATTCTACTTAGCATACCTGGACTTCAACATTAGATGTGGGAGGTAGTCTCACCATTATTAGCTCGTCGGTCTTGCATTCATCGACTAATAAGCTTCTAATACCCACACAGTACTGTAGAGGCTTATATAAAGCATTTTTATTTTCACACTGAATAAAGAAGATCGTTTCTATAGCCTCACCATCAAGCGGCTTTACGTAACAGATGGTGTTTATAGGTCCTAAATTTTTTTCAAGATGAATACTTGATGTTCCATGGTATGTTGACGTCTGCTTATATCTATGAGTAGCTTCCATGTTTAAATATATGGTAATCGACATTTTTTTTGTCACATTTAAAATTAGCCTGTTTGATGACCCTACCAATTTCTTATCTACGATCCATGTCCACTTTGTAATTTTTTTTGTGCGGCAATATAGGCATTGGCCTTTAAGGTGAATTGGAAGCTGACTGATATATTTATTCCCTTTGCAGTTGGTCACGCACACGATATTTATATTTAAATACCGTCTTGGAAATGATGAAAATAAGATGGTCTGCATGGCAACTGCCGATCGAAGATAGTCATAGGTAGAACGTATATGTAAAACAAATTTAAGTGTCTGTTCGTTTGCTTGAGTATAAGAAGGAATTACAAAACCCTTGCCTGAAATTACAGGGAATAATCAAATACTCATTAGAATTTTGTTCAGATAAGTTACCTGATCCCATATTAAGCTTGCACACTTTGTCGTTGTTTTTGGTAGAATCACAAGACCATTCAAATAAAAGATTCTGTATTGCATTTTTTGGTAAAGAAAGGTCACGGCTGGGGCTCCCATTCACAGAAATGGTTTTGCCCCTAAACACTTTGCGATATGGACCTCCACGTATGACGGCATATAAGCGTTGGGGAGCAAGGACCAAATAGCACTTGAAGACAAAAGGGACAGTAAACAATAAAATAGTAATATGTAGAGGCCGAATACTCACCCTTGCTACGAGCGGTGTACGGCGTCCGATAACTCTAGCATTTATGCGCACCATTACTAATCGATTTAAAGGAGACTGATGCCTTACTTTAAGTCTGTAACGGCCAACCTTCAGCTCTGGTTTTAAAGTCCCCCCTAAAAAGTCTAAAAGATCTAAATAAAACGGTATTTGAGGCTAAATTTTTTTTTTAATAAACAGCTTACGGCTTTCTGTACTGTCGTGCAGCGTCCAATAGTACTGAATAAAACTATCCATTGGACAACGTCGAGTAAATACTGCCCTTAAAACTATAACATCAGAGGTTTCATAATGCAAAGGCTGATTTGCATCATGGCATCGCGGAATATCAAAACGTGGCTCACACCGCAAATGTTCTTGTAAGTCAATGTAGGTGTAACTAGAAACTCTTTCTTCGTCTGCTGAAAGGCCGACAGTAGAAATCAGAGCAGATACGTTATGGTAGCCGCTTATGAAGAAATTAGCACGAGACACATGATAAAAACATTCTTGATAAGGAAGACTGTTTTCAGTGAAAATACCATAAAAATTCAAAGTTTGCATAAGATGAGTTGTACGAAACCACAAGAGAGGCTCACGGGTTTCACTTGCATTAGTTTGAAAATAATCAATAAGACGCCGTTCATCTATACTCACTTTAGTAGTGAACCAAACATCCCCTAGAGCTTCTAGGGTAGTGAGTATGAGGGTAGTGCGATTGACATGGAATCGGTTAATAAAAATATGAAGGTTTTCGTAGTTTACGCGAGCCATTATTTGTGGTAAGCAAACCAAAACAAGAAATGGTATTGTGGTCATTTTTATAAATTCGAAATTTTATGTGTGTATATTTATTTAATAGATTTTATTTTATTTTATTGCATAGCCTTCTTTTTATTTTGCTACATAAAGAAAATCAAGAATTCATTGCTTGAATTTGTTAATATATATTCCTCCTTGTGAGAGATGTATGGAATAAACTTACGTAACTGAACTATCCAAAGTATGAAAGATGTATGCCCTTGGCAACTTCTAAACTACTTCCTCAACAGCAACAAAAGCTGGGCGAACACATCATTACCATCTTGACATTATATGGAGAAGGTGACTTTTTTGCGGTTACCAATTGCCTAACCGGCTACATCCAATATATTTTTAAAGTCTAAAAAATTTCTATGAAACTTTTTTGTTTACCATCCTCCAATTCATTTCCAAAGATCTTTGCTTGAAATCACCTTAGAGTTGTTTTGACAATCTTGGGAAAAATCTATTCGGCCTCTGTTTAAACTGGAGTCGAAGATTTGGTAGATGACTCTTCGCGCTCAATTTAATTACCATGCATCTTAACAAAAAATAATTTTAGACATGTCTTACACTTTTTGAAATATGTAGGCGAATGTAGAAAAACGCAGGTTCAAGATATTTTGGCGAAACTTTAAGAATTCGTCCAATATGCTAACAACTTATTTTTCAACAAACTTGGAATTACCATCCGAAAATGTGGTAAGCTGGGGGAAAAAATTTGAATGCAATTTTTAAGTTTGCATTCCGATCGGCTTCAAAATCATTTTCAAAGATCTTTGTGATATATATTTGAGACGGGTTACACACTTTTCGTAAAATCTGCCTCGTGACAGTAACGCTGAATGGAATGTAAAACAACATTCAAGACCTGCTGTGATACCAGTATGTTTAGTCATAATAGAATAATATAATATTGTATGAGTAAATATGAATATAACAGAAGCCCGTCAATGCTGATTGACTTGGATTTTAAGAATGTCTTTATTCAAAGTAAATATAATCCACTTAGCTTATAGATACATGTATATATTTATACTACTATTGGTTAACAGCTACAAAGAGAGGGAGAGAGTAGCTTGCATATATGTTGCATTCAATGCGCTCAGACAGAGAGTGGGATGTGCAGTGCAAGCATAAACGTTTAGCTAGAGAGGCTGCGTAAAATGAGTCAGTGCCAATTTATAAAGTGGCTCTGGGCTTGTTTAATGTTAAACTGTTATTGTATGCGACAAAGTGCCGCATACTTAATATTTGTATATAGGGTGATCTTTTAAGGCATATACATACTAGACCTCCCTTTTGAAAGAAATAACGTAAAATAATTTAGTTATTTTTAAATGATTTAATTTTTTTATTGAAAGTTTTAATGATTAAAATATATATAAAAATTTATTTATAAATATATATTAATATTCTTTTTATACCCTGAACCCATAGAAAATTGGTAAAGAGGTTATATTGTATTTGTGTAAAATGCAAATGTATGTAACCGGCAGAAGGAAGCATCTCCGAATACAGTATATATATTCTTGATCAGCATCAATAGGCGACTGGATCTAGCCATGCCGGCCGTCCGTCCGTATGTATGAACGCAAGGATCTCAGAACCTATAGGAGCTAGACAATTGAAATTTTAGATGTAGGTCCTCCTAGTGCCTGCGCAGATTGACTTTGTTTCCGATAATAATAAGAGCTAGAGTCACCAAACATGATTTGCTGCTTCTAGAATATTATATATTTGTCAAGTATCTTTCATTTTATACCTACCCGCTACCACCAGAGAGCTATAAATCAAGTTAATAGCCCAACTTTAATTGCCAACCAATTTAAGCCACAATTGAATGCAATTGACTTTTTCAGTATACACATATATTCTATGGTACAATAAGATATACTGATATACGGTTAAGAAAAAACCAAAGTTATATGCAACTGCGCAATTGAATGGGGCAGAAGCTATAAGAATTTCTGTTTACATGTACACACACACATTCATGTGCGTCTGCTTCGCATTCTAACATCATGGTAATTGCGACTTGTTTCTGTAATGCTATTTAAGTTCCTTTTTTATCATAAGTACTCAATTATTGGTGTGGCTGCCGAGTAGAGGCATAGCAAATGGTGCTATCTGTCGCGAGTTCGAGCCCTACTGGGGAAAGTATATTGTTTTTTATACCCTGAACACTTTGAAAATGGGTAAAAAGGGTATATTGTATTTGTGCAAAATGCAAATATATGTAATAGGCAGAAGGAAGAAGAGTGTTCAGGGTATCCCCTGACCGGGAGCTCCAGACTAAAACCTCTAACTTATTTTTAATTTATTGGTGTTTTAATTTATTGGTGTTGGAATAATTGGATTCAGGGTATTCGGGTCGGGAGCTCCCGACTAGAACCTTTTATTTGTTCTGTTTACTTTGGTGCCTGGTAATAACTTTCAGGACTTTAACTTGTAAATCATTAAGTTCCTTGATGGTTATTCTTGAAAATACATTATCTTTCCCATTAGGGTACCGTAAAATTATATTCTTCTAATTCAAGCCTTATACGTGTTAATTTGGAACTTGGATTGACCATTGGAAATAAATATGTAAGTGATCTATGATCTGTTATGACAGTGAAATGTCTTCCATAAGTATATGGTATGAAAAGTGTTATTTCCCAATGAATTGCTGCTAGTTCCTGTTCCGTCGTACTCTTGTTACCTTCTCCCGTGGTAAATGATCTGGATGCATATGCAACTGGAAGTGTGGTTTTGAGTTAAAACCGCTCCACACGTTGCTTATTCGCATCCGTTATTATACAAAATTCTGTTGTGAAGTCTGGGTATTATAACAAGAGTCAGTTTAATAAGTTAAGATTTTAACATTCTTTTTATTTAGTCTAGTTAAAGACTTCATGCATAAACAATAAACATTTTTCAAGATGTAGCTTTAAGTTGTATTTCCTGCATATGTTAAAAACATCAGTCAGGTTTTTAAATATATGTCATTCGGAACAACCAATTACTATTCAGTAATCTATATAAAGGAATGCTTTCGAAGCTTCAAGTCCAGAGAATGCTATAGTCATCATTCTCTGAAATGAATTCGGAGCTATTTTTAAACTATATGGTAAAATATTTCGCTCTTCCTAGCTGATTTCAAATATCATCAATTCTAGGTAGTGATAACTTATCAACTAGCAGCTTTATGTTGGTTCGACGATAGTCGATTACCAATCAGCATGTGTATACCCTGAACCCTTTGAAAATGGGTAAAAAGGGTATATTGTATTTGTGCAACATGCAAATGTATGTAACAGGCAGAAGGAAGCCTCTCCGACCCCATACAGTATATATATTCTTGATCAGCATCAATAGCCGAATCGATCTAGCCATGTCCGGCCGTCTGTCCGTCCGTATGTATGAACGCAAGGATCTCAGAACCTATTAGAGCTAGAGACTTGAAATTTAGATGTAGGTGCTCCTAGTGCCTGTGCTAATCGAGTTTGTTTCCGATTATCGATAGCTTACTCCGTTTTCAAACAACCGATAAAAGTCGATATCGATATCCTGCTTTTTGGGAAATTTTGGTAAATAATAAGAGCTAGAATCACCAAACTTGACATATAGCTGCTAAAATAATATATATATAAGCATTTGATGTTGGAAGAAGGGGGGTTCAAGGTATCCCTTAGTCGGGGGAACCTCTTGTTTTTCTGTAGTAGATTTAAAAGCTTAGCAGATCCAACTTCTACCGATTCTCCTTTTACTGAAGTCGATAATTACGTGATGATTGCAGCAATTGTCTGCTCATTACTTATTAAATTTCTCGCATGGCCTTTAAGCTTTGTTGGACCACTATATCATATATCTGTCATACGAACAATCGGTCGAAAATTAAGTTTTTTGCACGAAAAATCATTTTGCTTTTCAAGAAATCTTGACCAAACTCGACATTTATTAGTTTTACCATGTTCTTCATATAGATGCAAAATCCTATTAGGATAGTACGACTATATCATATAGCTAACATTGGAACGATCGGTCGAAAATTAAGTTGTTGCCTAAATAATACATTTTGTTTTTCAAGATATCTTTACCAAACTCGGCATAGATTAGTTTTCCCATGCCTTTCATATAAATACAAAATCCTAATTAAATCGGACCACTATATCATATAGCTGCAATAGGAACGATCGGTCGAAATATAAGTTGTATGAAAACTCGGCATCTATTAGTTTTACTATGCTCTTCATATAGATCCAAAATCCTATTAAAATCGGACCACTATTTCATATAGCTGCCATAGGAACGATCGGCCGAAAATTAAGTTGTATCATAAAATATTTTGTTTTTCAATACATCTTGACCAAACTCGGCACTAATTAGGTTTCCCATGCCTTTCATATAAATGCAAAATCCCTATTAAATCGGACCGCTATATCATAACGATCGGTAGAAAATTAAGTTGTATGAAAAAACATTTTGCTTCTAAGATATCTTGACTAAACTTGGCATTTATTAGTTTAACTATGCTCCTCATATAGATGCAAAATCCTATTAAGATCGGACGACTATATCATATAGCTGACATAGGAACAATCGGACGAAAATTAAATTGTTGTATAATAAAGTATTTTGTTTTTCAAGATATCTTTACCAAGCTCGGCATTTATTAGTTTTACTATACTCCTCTTATATGTGCAAAATCCTGTTTAGATCGGTCCACTATATCATATAGCTGCCAAAGGAACGATCGGTCGAAAATTAAGTTGTAGGAAAAATCATTTGGTTTTCAAGAAATCTTGACCAAGCTCGGCATATATTACTTTTACTATGCTCTTCATATAGATGCAAAATTCTATTAAGATCGGACAACTATATTATATACCTGACATAGGAACAATCGGTCGAAAATTAAGTTGTTGTATAAAAAAACATTTTGTTTTTCAAGATATCTTTACCAAGCTGGACATTAATTAGTTTTACTATGTTCTTCATAAAGACGCAAAATGCTTTTAAGATCGGACTACTATATCATATAGCTGCAATAGGAACGA